TGTCTGATTTTGAATGGTCACTCAAAACTGTACTCAAGATTGTCATAAAGCTCTTTAAAACCACTTCATCCTTTTCTTACTGACCCCTCTGATGGCTTTCACGTGTTATTGCTCTTCCTGCTTGGAAAATGGGATACAGGAGCCATTCATATCTTCCCTGTCTGTGGAATGACATCAGCCTTGTTTCTGCTCTTTGTACAGCAGCTGAGGGGCAGTGCTAGGAGCAGGGTCAGTGCTAAGTGTTATTGAAGCTGTTTCTGCTGCAGGGTCACTGCAGTGAGATGTGTTTGTGTGGCTGTCACAGCCCTGCTGAGCCCAGTCCTTGGTACCAGTGCTGATGGTCCTGCCCTTGCCCTGACACAGCAGTGACAGCTCCCAGCCTGCCTGGAGGAGACATCCCAGGGCTGTGGCCCAGCCTGAGCTCCTCTGCTGGTCCCACAAGCTCCTCTGCACAGCACAGGGCAGGGACAGGCTGCCTGCAGCTCTGAGAGCAGCTGCCTGACAGGGGACAGGGCTTTCCTGTGCTGGAGCAGTGACTGCAGAACCAGATCAAACAGCTTCTTGTCTTCCAGTGGAGTCTGTAGGAGTTAGGACTGAATCCTTATCCTGAGCCCAGCCTTCAAGGCCCACTAAAGCTGGTGCTTGATGCACCCCAGAGGCTGGTTGGGCACTGACCAGGCTCCCCAGGGTTTGGTCACGGCCCCAAGGCTGCCAGAGCTCCAGGAGAGTTTGGATAACACCCTCAGGGACAGGGAGGGATTGTGCAGGGCCAGAGGTTGGACTCAATGACCCTGATGGGTCCCTTCCAACTCAACATATTCCATGATTTACATATTTCACTGAAGTCCATCACTGTTGGGCTCAGTGTGAAGTCAGCACATTCAAACACACCCTTAGAGCTAAATCCAGTTACTGTCACGGTGAGGAGCAGGCACTGCCCTCCTTCCTGTCCCTGTAAATCCCAGGACATTCATTTGTCAGCCAGGACATGAACACTTTTATTGGATACACCCAGTACTTCATCCATCGCTGCTGAACTCAGCACTCAGAGCTTTTGAGGCTCTGTGTGCTTTGGGGATGTTATTCCACAGTAGCTCTCTGGAATAGCCAATGTATGCAGTAAGATGGGAAACTAGGAAATAAAATCTTAAACAAAAATAAGAAGATTAGAAAAAACAAGAAATAAACCCAAATGCAACAAAAAATACCCATCTGGTGTGTAGCAGCATCTTTTGGAAAACCCTCAAAAATAAGCCTTAATTCCATTGAAATTTTGTGTTTATGAACTGGTATGTGTCTGTTTCTGTGTCAGAAGAATTTAGAAAGTCTAAGATTCAATAGAGGGCTTAATACCACAGATTCCATCTTGGCTTTGTCTCACCTCATGATTGCATCTGAACTTCCCGGGGCAAAATTTCAGGAGGTTGGTCTTGGGCAGTGTCTCAGCAGGGAACAGCAAAGGAAGGCTGGGGGATGAGTAATTTCCTCTGTGGCAGGACCATGGTGGAGTGGCCATCCCTCTGCCCTGGCTGTTAAAGGAATGTGCACCCACCCAGCTTATCCTGAGCTTTGTGTTGGGATCTTCCCAGGGATCGAGGGTGTGCCTGGAGGGAGTTGTTCCCTTGTAGGGAGAACATATCCCAGTGTTTGTGGGGAAAGTTCAGGAAATAGCCCATGGCAGTTGCTGGATCAGATTTTGCCATCCCTCCCCTCCTCTGTCTCTAGAAGAACCTGCAGTTCCAGAGCTGGGCCAGGGTTCTGTCTCGTGGCCAAGGGATTTCCCCCATCCCAGCCTGGCTTCTCGTAGTCCCTAAAATTCCACAGTAACTGCTGAGTGAAGGACCAGGTTGGAGAGGCCTTGGAGCCACCTCGTCCAGTGGAAGGTGTTCCTGCCCATGGCAGGGATGGAACCAGGTGGTCTTTAAGGTCCCTTCCAGCCCCAACCATTCTGTGATTCCATGATTCCCTCTCTCTCTACATATATGTATGTACACACCTTCCAATATATGAGGAAATGCCTCTAACATGTCCTGCTCCAGATTTCTTCATATCTCTTGTACAATATCTTCCAGAGCTTGTTTCCCATTACACTTCCAGTGCCAGCAGTACTTGCAGCACTTTGTTGGCCTTGTTGGACCCTGGCAGGGCAGAGGAGGCTCCAAGGCACGGCTGCCTTGCTTTCTCCACCAGCTCATTTGCTTCACAGTCTGCACAGCAGAGTTTTAGTATGTCAGATGTGGAGGACCTTGAAAGGGCATGTAAAGAACCCACTCCTTTTTATATGACTGTTCCTCCATAAAATAACAGGGTGTTTCAAAAGAGCAGCTCCAGGCACCGTCCAGGACTTCAACAGTTGTTGGGAAGCGAAGTACCAAAGTTTCCCACTTCATTTGGAACAAGCTCTGAGGGTCCCTTTGCTGTTGGGCTTTTGTCACCATTCAGGTGTGCTGGGGTTTGAACTTATTGATCTCAATGAGGGCACCAGCACCAGCTTTATCTCTGTGTGAGAAGTCAAGGTGAATCCCTATGGGACAATAGCACTGATCACGGATAACTGTGTATTTAGGGACTATCTGGGCTTTGTCTCCATAGATCTTTTTTTTTTTAATGGAAAATTCTCTAGTTTACTGTAGAAATTCTCTTTTTAAAATGAAAGTTGTTTTCTTGGTCTGAATTGCCTGTATTCACTGAGTGTTACACACAGCTCGTTGCATTATTCCATGGGTCAGTGTTTCCATGAGCCTTTGCATTGTTCTTCCAAATTTTCATTTAAAAAAAACAAAACAAACCAAAAAAATATTAAAAAGAAAGGAATGAAAGCAGACATTTGAAATGCTTCAGCCCTTTCACCAGCTATATAAGATTAGGAGAGAGATTTCAAAATGTCAGAGGAACTTTTGCAAACTCTTTTAGCAGGCAGAATTTCCTTCTTGTTCATCACTCAGCTTGGCTAAGTGGCAGTTTCTAGCTAAGCATAGCTGTAGCCATATTAAACCATAGATATTGCACAGAGTGATAGCTAAATTCTGGCAGAAACTGGCAAAATAAAGATAACCAAACCCAAAGCAGTTCAAGAGTGCACTGTGGATTATTCTGGCAGGGTTTGTGGTGTGCATGTGCTCTGTCCTGGTGTGACTCACTGGGGTTCCCTCCCGGCCTGGCTGCAGCAGGGACAGCTCAGAGCTGGTGCAGAAACACGTGTTGGGGTATCCTAAGTTGGTTTTCACAGATTGTCTTGGGGGGAAGAAAAGTAAAAATAAATTCTATTTTTAAAAACAAACAAAAAAAAATCCCCAGAAAACAGTTACAAGGCCACTTTGTCTTGTATATTTGCAAATTGATTTCAGAATATCTTAATGACAAAATGTTTGTTTCAGTCTGGGTCTAAAGGGGCAGACTATGATTAGACATAAAAAGCTTTATTTCTCCTACAATTTCATGGCAGCAAAGAGTTGAGATCACATTTTGTAAAGCGCTGACTATCAGCAGGTGTCATTTTGCAGATGATGGATGTGCCTTTATGCTCTTTGTCTGGAGGAACAGCCCCAAATGTACAGCTCTGTCTTCTCAAATGAGCTTTTATTTTGTGGTGGGGTCCAAGTTCCATTTCCAGACATGCCTTGGGTGAATTATTCTCCTGTGTGGACTACCTCTCTTTAGCTTCCAAGTGTCAAAGATCAGGTCGTCTTGATCCAAGTTCTCCAGAAATTCTTTCTGCACCAGCAGAGAGCTTGGAAAATGCTCTCAACCTGGTTGCTTTTCCATTACTCTCCCCCTCTGGTATGATGGGAGGTCATCTGGCCCCGAGTTACAGTGAGCTCAGCAGGCACCCAGATCTCCCCCCGACAGGTCAGTCTGCCCTGACCGTGTCCTCAGTCTGGCACTGGGATCCTGACCCTGAGCTGGGGGTTTGGAATGCCTGCTCTGCCATCAGGAACATCTCCAAGAGGCTGAAGTCAGGCCTGCCTGCTGGCCTGGGAGCAGGATGATGGTGCTGGGGAGGAAGGGTGTGGGGAGGCTGGCACACCTCAGGACAGGAACAGCTGCTGGGGGTTGAGTCTAAGCAGCAGGAAATGAAGCACGGTGGGTTTTGCTTGCTGGGCTGGGCTGGCCTGTGCAGCAGTTTGCAGTGCTGATGGACACCAGAGAACTGCACATGGATCTTAACTGGGGGCAGCATCCCAGCTGGAGAGGAGAGGATCCTCTGGAGTTAATGGCTTCTGAGGAGGAAACTCCCTGTGATTGCTGGGGTGGTGTGTGTGTTCAAATCTCCCTGGAAGGCTCGTGGCAGAACTTCTGTGGCTCAGCCCTGCTGAGAGGAGCAGGGTGACCCAAGTCAGGGGCCCTGGAGACCTGGCTGCAAGTTTTGTGTTTGGAGTCAACTTTAATGCCAACATCACTTTAGAGTTTGTACTGCAAGAGGGGAAAAGAGTTGCAAAGAAGGAGAATGTTTAAACTGCAGTCAAACATTGCCCAGAGAGGTTGGATGGATGAATGCCCCATCCCTGGAAATGTTCAAGGCCAGGTTGGACAGGGTTTGGAGCAACCTGGGCTAGTGGAAGGTGTCCCTGCCCATGGCAGGGGGTGGGACTGGATGAGCTTTAAGGTCCCTCCCAACACAAAGCACTCCATGATTCCATGATTGTGTTGTGAGCTCCTTTTTAAATCTTTTTTCAGTCTTCACAATACTCTGATGAATGTTACATTAGTTTTACTCTGAACTGAACTAAATGTTTTATGTAACTGGGAGGTTCAGAAAATCAAGGCAAAATCCATGAAGTGAAGGAGAGCTCTGGATCTCGTTGCATTTGATGTGTGAGGAGAGAGGAAAACTGCATTTTGTCTGACAAATAAATGGAGTATGGCATTGATAATTATCGTCATTAAAATGACAATAAATGGAGAGTGGGATGTCCCTGGAAGCAGGGTGCACAGGGGGGTACCTTGGAGAGCCAGTTCTGTGTTAGTGCTGCTCACACACTCTGGTGTTTCTCTTCCAGTCCGATGGGACCATCCTGGCCATCGCCTTGTTGATCCTCTTCCTCCTGCTGGCCTTGGCTCTGCTCTGGTGGTTCTGGCCTCTCTGCTGCACTGTGGTAAGTGACAGAAATCATCAGCAGAAACCAGCAATTCAGTGTTGCCTGAATGTAAGAAATGTGGGGGAAGGGGACAAAGTTTTCCACAGGATGGGGCAGCATTTCTTCCACCACTGGCACTGCTTTGGGCTTCTGTTCCATCTGCCCAGCCTCTGGATCACACCCATGGAACAGCAATGCTGCCAACATCCAGGCCTTGTCAGGAGCCTCTCAGTCATATTTATTGGTCACAAAATGGAAAGGGTTTGCAGAAATGTATTCCTTGCCATGCCTGTTGGGGAGGAAGGGCTCTTCTGCGTTGTCTAACCCCGGTGTTGGTATCTCCATGCTGGAGGGCTCCTGTGGAAGGGCATGGCCAGCCCAGGCTGCAGTCCTTGTTCTGCCTCAGGTGCAAGGAAAAGGCATTTCTAATGCAGAAAGTTTTGCAAGATTAACTTTGTTTCCTGACCCACTATGGCTGGAAAGCACTTTGAAACACCCAAGTGACAGTTCTAGTGGAAGTACAACTGTGCTTCACTGAGAGTTATCTCCAGGCTCTTTCACAGAAGTTAAAAAGCACAATCACAGGGTTAATACCTTAAAAAGACAGAGGAAAATCAAGATAGAACAGAGGAGAAGGAGGAGGCCAAGGGAGGCAAAAAGGAAATCACAGGACTCGAGACGTGCTCTGGTGTTTGTCTGCAAGGACCTGTCCTAGCACTGTCCATCCCTGCTGATCATTCCCTGGCACTCTGAGGATCAGGGCAAGGATCCTGATTATTGGGGAACACACAATACAGGGAAGTTCTGCTGCTGCTCTGGGTCTTGTTTGTGCTGCAAATATAGAACAAGAATTAGAGATGTAGAAATGTCAGCAGAATTGGACTCCTGTTTTGATGAGTGGCTGCGTGGAACAATTCAGATGCTGCTTTTCAGGCTGCCCAAACTGGCTCAAGTTGCTGGGTCACCATCATTATTCTTGATTTCAAATGACATACCCAGAGTTGTAAATTTGTACCATGTTGTACCAAACCTGCAATCCAGTCCTGAGAGCTTTGGAGGCAAAGTGAAGGATGAGTCTTTGTGCTGAGATGAATTTACCCAGAACAAGGATGGAAATCTCGCAGGAAAAATCTTCGTTGCCTATTTCTGTTCCTGGCTGGAAACGCTGGGGATAAAACGCTTCTTTTCACAGTAGTTTGGCACCTCTGTCCTGAGAAGAAAACCAGAATGGAAAAAATATTTATTTGGACTTTCAGAACAATAAAAAAAGATTGGTTCTAAATTTGGCCAAAGCATTAACAGCATGGTAGGTTGCTCAGAGTTATTTGTCTAAAGTAGATGGCACATTCCCAGAGGAACTGGACGATTCCTTTGTTGGCACATCTGCATGGAAGTCAGTGGAGATGTGCCCTGTACAGATGTTTGCACTGGAGCAGAACTGGGGGGATAAGAGAGGAAAGGCTCTCAGTGACACTGCTGGGTTAAGGTTCTGTTACAGGAGAAAGGTGAAGCTGATGAGAAAAAGGCATAAATAAAAGCAGCAGTGCAGGGGACATGGAGCTGTGCACTGGGAGGGCAGTGTGGGTCTGCTGGATGAAACGGTGTAAGGACAGTGGTTGTGAAGTGTAAAAATACAGCCCAGATAAGCAAGGTGGGCCAGCAGAGAGAGGCAGCCTCTGTCCACACGAAACTTTATAAACTTAATGTTTTCCAGATTTAAATCCTGTACTTGAAAAATTTGTTGCAGATAAAAGCTTTTCCTCACTCTCCTCCTTTACCTCCCACATTCCCTCTTAGCAGGGTCTGTGAGTGGGGACTATCTCACTGATGGTTTCCAAGTGTAAGTCAAACACATCCCTGTAGCTGTTGGAAAGATTTTCCTCCAAGAGCCTGGATGAAATCTCTTCCACCTCTCCAGGGGGTAGCCCGGTGTGTTTGGCAGCAGATCAGCAGCTGAGATACCTCACTGTGTATTGCTCACCCAAAAACTCTGTGAAATTAAAGATAAGCCCGTGGACGAGAGCCCAGCCTGTCTGGGGTGTGCAGAGAGGGAGCCCAGCAGAGCTCTGGCCTGGTTTGGAAGTGGCACAGGAAGGAATGCAGTTGTCAGGAGTGAATTAAGGGCAGAGGAACTGGCTTGCACAAGAGACCAGAGGCATCAGCACTAACCTCGAATAACCAAACCACAGAGCCGGAGCCATCGCCGTGGATCCCAGCCCGGGGACGTTTGGAGATAACTGGGGATGTGTCCAGGGGAAGAAGGAAAAAAACAACAAACTCTTCTCTTACCAAGTATAAATTTGTTTCTGAGTGACAAGCACATTTCTAAACCCTGAAATTCCTCTTGGCATGCTTTTTAATTAAATAGGAGTCATTATTATCCGGCAGTTCTTCAGGAAAGACACCAAGCCAGCTTTATCCCTGGAGTAAATGGACTGAAGTCAATAGACTCACTCTGGAGGTTTATCTGGAACCCAGTATCTCCTTGGCACTCACCCATAAAGGAATGCTGTTTCCAAATGTATCCAAGTTTATTGGTCTCAGAAGGATTCTGGGATGAAGTCTGGAATTTACCACTCGGTTTACAGTAGAGGCAATTGTTGCCTGGTGGCTCAGAACAATAATAACTCTTTGCTGTGCCTGATACCAGCACAGGCAAAATTACCCTGGATACCTGTGGGGGATATTACAAAAGCATGGGAGGCAGACACGAACCTTTCCGAAGGTTCTGGGAGGTTTGTTCAACAACAGAAAACAAAGAACTAATTCTGCTGCCCTGACATTCCCACCACTGGACTCCTTACAGGAATGGTGGCCAGTACACAGACATCTGGAATGGGGTGACCCCACTCCTCCTGAGCTGAGCAGTTCTGGGGAACAGCAGACACCACATCCCAGCCTCCCTGAGTTAGGGGTTGTCTTCCCATTCCTCCTCCTTCCTGAGTACAGCACAACCTGGAGGAGTCCAACACCCCCAGCAGTAACTGTGTGTGCAAGGGGCTGTTCAGGTGCCTGAGGGTGGAATTGTTCTGGGTAGGAGGCCAACATAAGCCTCAGGTTTAATGTTGCTGTAAACCAAGTAGATTTTAATGTAGATGTGAGCCAAAGAGATAATGAGCCTCCAAAACTATCTCAGGGAGGATTTGCAGGCACATTGTTAGATTGGCTTGGAAATAGAGCTGGTTGAAGTGTTTGGATGTATAGTGAAGGTATAACTGATACAATACTGGAAGGCTGCTCTGTGCTGGGATGGTTTCCCTGTGCTGGGATGGTTTCCCTGTGCTGGGATGGGCTCCCTGTGCTGGGATGGGCTCCCTGTGCTGGGATGGGCTCCCTGTGCTGACGTGCAGCACCACACTGAGCACGTGTCCCACATGGACAGGGGTCCTGGCAGGATGAGGGAGCTGTTTGGGCCATGCTTTGCACCTTTGCAAAGGTTAGCCCTGGATCAGGTGGAGGGATGGTCACAGCCAGCCTGGCCCAGCCTTGGGCTGGAGCTCAGTGAGGGCACTCCAGGGGTGGGAGTGGAATTATCTCCCAGGGGCAGCTGAGACTGAGACTTTTCCCCACGTGCATCTTCCCACATGGCTGTGCATCACATCTCCTCACGGGTTTATCAAGTAAACACGTGTCTGTGCCTCCCTTCTGCAGCCATCCAGGGTGGCCTGAGGGGGAGGACACGAGGCTGGGCTGTGTTAGTTGCCCCTGCAGAAAATCTGCCCCATCTCCCTCCTTTTCCCACTGCAGCCATTTTAAATGCAGGGGTGTGGCTGGCAGATAAATGAGGTGTTGGTATTTAAGCATCTAACACCAGTTTTAACTTTAAAGCTGTTTTCTGGAAGGAAGCATGGAAGAACCCAGCAATCTGTTTGGCTCTCAGTCTGTACTGCAGCTGACCAGAAGTTTTGGAAACAAAGAGCTGGATGGAGAAAATACAGAAAATATAGATTAAAACCACATGAAAATCATGGCTAAACTGGAGGAAGAGGAGGGGAGGAAATGCATAGGCTCTACAGCAACCCTAAAGAGCCATAAAATGACACGGTCCTTGTTGGCTGGATGGAGATTCCCTGCGAGGGGCCACGTGCTCTGCTCCCACCCGCTCCCATGTGCACACAGGGCACAGCTCTGCTGCAGGATGATGATGTGGGAGAAGGGAGCACAGGATCATGAATCATCTGCAACATTACTGAGACAAACCAAGCAAAAGAGAAAGCAGAAGTGTGAAGGCAGAGATTGTTTGTGAGCCCTGCAGGCCCTGCCTCTGGGCCGGCTCTGGGCTGTCCAGGTGAGCATCCACCTGAGCAGGGAGTGTCCCACATTCTACACCTGGAATCACTGGATTTACTGGAGATAACTGTTGTGTGGAACATTCAGGGTCTGGATCCACACACACTGCCAGGAATGAGCATCTCCATTTACTTCCCAAACCCTTGGAGGCAGCGCTGCTGTTGCAGGTTTAAGGCAGTGTAAAAAACACCCTGACTGCAGTGCTGGGCACAAAGGGCAGCAGGAGGATGAGGATGGTCTTATGGATCACACAGAGTACCCAGGGCAGGTCAGTGCTGCTCTCAGGCTCCTGTCAGTCAGATCAGAGTGGTTGGCGTATGGATATAACACTCAATAAGTGGTTGTGTTTAAACAGGCTGGCACTGATCCCCAAAACAACCGAGCAAAGGCCCAGTGCCCGGGCTGATGCCACCAGCTCTACAGCAGCCCAGGTGGAGACATGGGCTGGTGGAACAGTGTGGGGGCCAGGCACTGAACTGAGGTGCCTTGATGTGTCCTTACCAAAAAGCTCAATCCATATTCTCCAAAGTGCCCCTCAGTTGTGGAGTGTCCAAACTGAAAGATGTTCATGGAGTTGCCGTTTTGGAAAGCGCCCTCTGAGGCTGGGAAGGCATCTGCCTTCAGATGCTGTGCCCAGACTTCAGATTCCCAGACAATTCCCTTGCTGATGTGTTCCCTTGAGGCCAGATCCAGAGGCCAGTGATGTTAATCCTGCCCGGGTTCAGCAG